AAGGAAGCAGTTTAGCAAATGCATGAGACCTTGAGGCAATATCTCATGCATATTAGTTCTGTGTCAGAGGAGAGGGGGGAATGACATTTAGGTTGAAAATAGTCATTTCATTCTGTTACAATTTGTAAATTTCTTTGAGAGATTAAAAACTTTCTCACTGAAACTCTGAGACAAGCAGGTTTTATTATATCCACTGATCCTGGACCAGCCTGAGTGAGTATTAATTTCTCATCCTCGGAGTACAGGCTCTTCATCCTAACAACTGATTCATAGAATAAAAGCATCAAATGAAGGCTGAAGAGAACAAACAGATAACTGATGTAGAAAATAAGAAGGGATAAAAAAGGTGAAATCATAGGGAAACAAATGTCTGTGCTGAAATTAGCTTTGCAGGTTATCAGTGATTCATCTTAATCAAATCCGGTTTGTGCTTTTGTGTCACGCTGAGAGAACAGAGCCGTTTAACAAAAGTTCATTAAAGTTTTCTGTTGTCTGCTCAGTGAGAAAACCAGCTTTTATTAATCTCTTTGGAGCCAAATGAAAAAAGGTAACTGAGGATCTTCTTGTTGCCATCAACTGACAATTTGCTGCAGCTCAGCTCTGATCACATGACCCAGGAGGCCCATCAGGTACTTCTACAGACACGGACAAAATTGTTGGTACCCTTCGCTCAATCAAAAAAAAAAATAATAATAACAATAATAAAATAACGTACAATGGTCACAGCAATAACTTGTTTGAAAATTCTTTGAAATTTAACCAAAGAACGTCAGACATTGATTTTCAACCATGCTTCTACGTATTTAACGTATTTACAGGGGGGGGGGGGGGGGGGGGGGGGGGTGCATGGAACAGGCCTGGCCAAAAAATATGGTACCCCTAGACTGAAAATAATGTGACTAAGGGGACATGCTAATTCAAGGTAATTAGCATCACAGGTGTCTACAAACATGTAATCAGTCAGTGGACCTATATACAGTATGGGGCTCCAGGTGGTCACTGTGTTGTTTGGTGACATGGTGTGTACCACATTCAACATGCACCAGAGGAAGTCTCAGGAGATTAGAAAGGAAATTATAGACAAGCATGTTGAAGGTAAAGGCTATAAGACAATCTCCAAGCAGCTAGATGTTCCCGTGACTGCAATTGCACATACCGTAAATCCTCTAATACAGGCATGTATTCAATTGACGGCCGGGTCTCATATTTTGGCCGGTGTCGGAGTCGGCGGAGGTGAATAATGGCCGGTTTCTTATTGTGGCTGCGTGGAATGTGGTAACAAGCAAGTACGGGGGGCAGTTGTGTCATCGTCTCACTTTTGATTTGCCAGTGATAGACCACAAGAGTAACTTTAACCATGCGGAGACGAAGAGGAGGCGAAAATTTGATATCAAGTTCAAAGAGAATGTGCGCAATAGGGGTTGTATGAACTAGTCGACTTCACTATAGTGACTTTTTATGCCTGTCCTCGACTAGTCGCTGTCACGTGATAATGACCGGCAAGATGCAGCCCTCGGAAAAGACAGCAGCCTGCTGTCAGCAGGTGACAAGCTCCTGCGCTCGGGGGGGGGGCAACGCGCTGTGCCAGAGTGTCGGTACTGGCACGCAATCATTGATGTCGGTTCATTTCCTTTAATGTTTTCTGTCTTTTATTTGCGCCTGATGTGTTTCGCTGCTGCGGAGCGGGGCGCATCACCTTGTCCTCCGGCGACGCACCGATCACTGATGCGGCCGCCAAGCAGGGAGCACTCCGCTGTTTTTGCGGTCGGTAGATCTGCATCCTGAGCACGGCCACAGTAACATTATCAAATCAGGTGTCGCTACCTCAAAAACTAATTTAACACGCGATCGTTCATGTCGGTTCATTTCCTTTAATGTTTTCTGTCTTTTATTTGCGCCTGATGCGTTTCGCTGTGGAGCGGGGCACATCACCTTGTCATCCGGTGACGCACCGATCACTGATGCGGCCACCAAGCAGCGAGCACTCCGCTGTTTTTGCGGTCGGTAGATCTTTTAGAACTGCAGCTCAAAGGTAACTCATAAGGTGAATATATATGAACCCAGGTAGCAGTTTTTCTTTAGGATTGAGAGGAGATGCAGGAAGATAATAAACAGGCAGGACAGAAAAATAGTCAAATAAAATCAGTTAGTTTTTGTACCTGGTGTTTGCTACAAACATACACCATTGAAGGTAATCAGAAGTGAGGAACAGAAAATGAAATAATTATTTTAATGTTTAGAGCAGCAGGAACTCTGAGAGGCTGCAGGCGCATCAGTGAGTTTGTGGCCGCTGCGCAGGGGGAGGGGGAGATGGCTGAAGCAGAAACTACCGTTGTTAAAAGAAATGTGTTCATTTTTGAAAATGTGGGCGCAATTTTAACTGTCAAAAACTCCAGCGAACCATTAGTTCATTTTGTTCAAATAGAAATAGAGGTCTGCCTCTAATTCTGGCCCTCCTTCCAATAAAGGCCTGGAGCTTGATGAGCTTGAGTCAAATACAGGCCCAGGCCTGTATTAGAGGATTTACGGTATTATTCAGAAACTTCAGATCCATGGGACTGTAGCCATCGTACCTGGACGTAGTTGCAGGAGAACAATCGATGACAAATCAGAGACGGATAATCTGAATGGCAACTAAAGAGCCCAGAAAAGCGTCTCAAGAGATCCAGGGAGAATGCAAGGGACACCAGTATCAGATTGCACCATCCGTTGTTGTTTGAGCCAAAGTGGACTACATGGGAGACGACCAAAGAGGACACCACTGTTGAAAACAAATCATAAAAAAGGCTGGAATATGCCAAACTACATGTTAACAAGCCACAACGTTTCTGAGAGAATGTCCTATGGACAGATTAGACAAAAATAGAACTTTTTACTAAGGCACATCAGCTCTATGTTCACAGACGGAAAAAATGAAGCATATCAAGAAAAGAACACTGTTCTTACTGTGAAACATGGAGGAGGCTCTGTTGTGTTCTGGGGCTGCTTTGCTGCATCTGGCACAGGGTGTCCTGAATCTGTGCAGGGCTCAATGAAATGTCATGACTATCAAGGGATTCTAGAGAGAAATGTGCTGGCCAGTGTCAGAAAGCTTGGTCTCAGCCACAGGTCATGAGTCTTGCAACAGATCAATGACCCAAAGCACACAGCTAAAACACCCAAGAGCAGCTAGGAGGAAAAAATTGGACTGCTGTAAAGTGGCCTTCTATAAGCCCTGGGCTTAATCATGTTGAATGCCTTTGGAAGGAGTTGAAACATGTCCTCTACTGAAGGGTACTAAAAAATTTTTCCACATTTGTAAATGTGCCCAAGCTGACTCCAACATATAATTATTTGACCTATCGATCTACGCTCCTACCCTCACCTATAGTCACAAGCACTGGGTAGTGTCCAAAAGAACGAGATCACGGATACAAGTGGGCAAAGGGAGCTTTCTCCACAGGCTGTCTGGGCTCTCCCTTAGTGATAGGCTGAGAAGCTTGGTTTCCGGGAGGGACTTGGAGTATGTCCGCTGCTCCTCCACATCGAAAGGATCCAGTTAAAGTGGCTCAGGCATCTAGTTAGGATGCTTCCTGGACGCCTTCCTGGTGAGGTTTTTTGGGCAGGTCCAACCAGGAGGAGGTCTAAAGGAAAACCCAGGACACAGTAGAGGAGCTATAATGCACCCCTCTATGTACCCCTCCCTGTATAATGTGTTTCTTGGCTGGCCAGGAAACACCTTGTGATTCCCCTGGAGGAGCTGGCCCAATTGGCTGGGGAGAGGGAAGTCTGGGCCTCCCAGCTTAGGCTGCTGCCCCTGCGACCCAACCCTGGATGGTCATTATTTTGGCATTTCGGAGCATCTTACTTTAAATTTAAAAAATTCTGCCAAAAACGATAATTACTTCTCCCTCTTCAGGTTAAAACTCTGCTCTGCACTGATTTTGAGTCAGCCACAGCTGATGGCTAAAGCTTGATTTATGCTTGACGCATTCACTTTCCGCGCGGTGATGCGGCTCGCGAATGGAACACGCTTCACAACTCGCAGTGTTTATTGTTCGTGCGGCTCGTCTCTGCGGTGAGCCAATATTCTCCCAAACTGCAAGGGGCAGCATGGAGCTCTACGGCATGCATCCAACACTACACCATAGTAGAAGTAGAAATTACTGTTTATAATATGGCATTTCAGCATTTTTAACAGCGTCCTTGTCTTTTCCGACAGTGCAAGCTACTTCTCTCCACGAATTATTAACAACATGTTGATCACGGTGATCTCTGAGAGCCGAATCATACAAATGTCTGTATTTACGAACCTCTGCCATAATAGTTCTTGCAGGTCCGCCATGTTTTTCCGCGTCCGTCCGTCCGCGTGGTTAGAAAATTTCCGAGGTGCGCATTGCGGAAATATTGAGCCGTGCGGAGACGCGGTGGATGGGCGTGGTTGTTAAAATAATGCAACTTTTCCACGCAGAGCCGTGCGGGCCGTGCATAAACCAACCTTAAGAGGTGCCAGGTGATATTTGTCCTGTATTACATGGCTGAATTGCACCGGACTTTGGCCGAGAGTCAGCCGCACCTCCAGTTTGTTAAGCCTCTCACGAGCCAGTATGAAACAGTACAAATCAGAGCAGCTTGCCTCCTTAAAAAAAATTCTCCTCCCATTCTTCTAGTGATCAAGGTGGAGCGAAAACCCTCCAGCCTGCTGCAGCTTCTCTGCTTGGTCTGTTGTGTCTGTTGTGTGTGTGTGTGTGTGTGTGTGTGTGTGTGTGTGTGTGTGTGTGTGTGTGTGTGCAAGCGTGCATGCACGAGTGTGCGTGCACTTGTTAAAGACTTGTTTTTCTGACTGGGAAACTCTGTGAATTTGCAGGGGGTTGAGGGGTGTGCTGTCAATCACTGCCTGAGAGCCACTCGACCGAGCGACATCTCCTTTAGGCGGATTTTTCTATCAGGAAGCACGGGTGAAGTAAGACTCCACCCAGGGTGTGACTTACCCTTTAAGCATCAAATAAAAAGACAGAGTCTGCCAGAGCAACCTGCTGACTTTATTCACTGTGAATAAATTACAACCAAACAGTCATTAAAGCATGATTTACATTTAAAATAAACAAGTAGAGCTGATTGGATATCAGCATTGACTGACAGGTAATTAAAAATGTGATGATGGCTTTTTGTCTTGGATTGAAAACAAAAGCTGTTTTTTGGTATGAGACCACCACATGCACACGCATACACACATCTGAGGACAACAGGACAAATATCCATTAATACAAAAACAATTGGATATAAATACAATATTTATATTCTGTATGGTACAAAAACAGGTTGCCACGGTGACAGGCAGGAGTGTGTTTTTAACCACAGTGACGTAGAAATATTCAGTTTGCTACAAGTTTTGCCAAAAATCACAAATCCCACAAGGAAACATTGGGTGGGGCTAGAATGCTGGGGGTGGGGCATGGGACAGTGGGAGGGGCTAAGATCGAGACGGAACAAGAAGACGGACTTCACAGTAGCGTATCAGATGCAGGAATTGTTTTTACAGTGCAAGCAAATAAACAGACAAATAGGGTGGTGCTGAAGTAGGGGGGGGGTATGGAAGTACAGATCATCTTTAATTTTCCTTTCATCAGATCTTTTTACACGGTTTTCACAAGTGCTTGTGCTCAAGTTAAGATGTTCATAAATATGTAAATATGAAACGTGTTCATATTTAATGTTCAGATGAACTATTTCTGGATTTACTCATTTTTGAAAGAAAAAAGAGGGGATGTCTCAGTGTGGGACACAGACACCAAACATAGTTTCACTTTGGGTTCTTTTTTCAGTGTGCAGACAGGAATGCTTCCATCCTCAGTTGATGCTTCATTCATTGAGATTTCCACCAGGAAACTTTTGTTAATTGCAAAACAAAGATATCTTTGACTTTCTTCTTTCTTTCCAACAAATCTAAACGTGTTATTTTGGATTGCCTAAAATTTCCCTAAAATGACAAGTTTTATCCGTCATTGTTTCTGAATTCTTGAGAGCCAAATGGAAACTTTTTTTTTGTATTTTAAAACAAGAATTTAACATTTTTAAACATTTTAATCTGTTCAACACCAACATCCTTCAAACGAAGTCTCCTTTGTTCTTGTAGAGATCCACTTTTTAGAGAGGAAAGTTTATTTCTTCCTGTTCTGACTGAAGCAAAGTTTTCATATTAAGTGTTACTGCTGAACAGAAAAATAACTAAATATTATAATGTGGAGGAATTTGTTTTCTCCTTTTTGCTTTAAAATAAAATTAAAACTCTTAACAGGAAATATACTTTTTGCTCCCCCCACACTGAGCTTCACCTGATCTCAGGTGTTTCTGCAGTAAGTGATGATGTCACTGTCCTCGATCACGGTGGTGAACAACAGAATAAGCTTACAAACACATTTCCCATCATTTGTGGCTTTTAATCTTTGTAATCTCCAGATTATTATTTTGTTGGCAAATCGTCACATGTAGAGGAAGTGATGCACATTCCTTGAGTGACATCATTGTTTTACATCAGCAGTGAAAATAAATTCCTTTACAAGGAGCTGATAGCACCTGAAGAAGACAGCTGCCCAGAAAGTCTCTTTTCTTTACAGATGGACATTTGTCCACTCGCACTATTCAGCTGCTACCTGAGGCCCCACCTCCAGAGGCCACAGGCCCCTCCCCCATGAGGTGATTGGTGTTCAAGGCTGAGGGGGAGAGGAGAGAAGTGAAGACAGAGGAAGAAGATTATCTACATGGGTGGAACAACGAGGCCAGACATAGCTGCATAGAAAAAGCACAAGAAAATATATTTAATTTCTTCAACAGAATATGATGAAAACAATTATTTTTTGAAGTTTAAATTAATTCTGACACATTTAAGCAAAAGGTGCTCAAAACGAAGCTGAAACATCTAGAGGAACTTAAGATGATAAAAAGTCTGGTCAAACATCTGGATTCACAACTCAGAGTTCATCCAGCTGTGTAGGTTTGACATAAAAAGTGTTAAACAATCAACCAACCACCCAAAATACCTTCTTATGAACCTGTCCAACTTAAACAACACACACACACACACACACACACACACACACACACACACACACCACACACTCACATTTACACTAAAAATACTCAAAATGCACACCAAACACACATTAAATACTCATCAGATGCACTCTGAATACATACCAGCCACACATTTTATACATACCAAGGCACATTAGATTAAAACTACAAGCACAACAAATTCATACCAAAAGTACTCTAAATACAGACCAACACTCTTTAAATACACACAAAATATTTCAAAACATACTACACATTATAAATATGAACAAACCACACTCCAAATACACATCAAAGACATTACAAACACATCCACACATAAAAGACACATCAAACAGACACCAAATACAGTCCCAATACACACTAAGTGTTTTTGAACTATGACTTCTGGCTTGATTTCAGGCAGCTTACTTCCTGTTTAATCATCACTAGCAGCCCTGCTCTGTCCATTTTTTGTATTGAAACTCTGCCCTGTGCCAATGTTCGTCACCTGTGTGTATTGTCCTCACTGTCCTACGTTCCAGCGCTTAGTTATGACTAAATGGGTAAAACTGACTCTGCTCGTGATTTTGGATTTGCCTTTGCCTTGTTTCAGACTTGTTCACCCGTTTTTTGGATTATTGTGTTTGACCTCGGACTGGATTAAAGGACTTTGATTTTACAGCCCGCTGCTTCTTAGTTCTGCTTTTGAGTCCTCTTTTCCTGAACTGAAACTAACGCAAACACTCTCCACTAACTACACACCAAAGACAAGCCAAAAATACACAAAACACACACTAATCATGCACTAATCACACAAATCAAACACACTCCTCTAACAAACATTAAAAAGACACCAAACCCACACACACACACACACACACACACACACACACACACACACACACACACACACACATCTGACACACATGGAACACACACTCTCTGTGGCCTGTCTGAAGGCTGAGAGCAGCATGAATATTTAACACTCGACAAACCACTCTGTCAGAAACACTGACATCACACATGGTGACTGAACGATGTGTATGTGTTAGCATTTTGTGTGTGTGTGTGTGTGTGTGTGTGTGTGTGTGTGTGTGTGTGTGTGTGTGTGTGTGTGTGTGTGTGTGTGTGTGTGTGTGTGTGTGTGTGTGTGTGTGTGTGTGTGTGTGTGTGTGTGTGTGTGTGTGTGTGTGTGTGTGTGTGTGTGTGTGTGTGTGTGTGTGTGTGTGTGTGTGTGTGTGTGTGTGTGTGTTAGAGGATGTATCTGTGTGTATGAGTGAATAAAACATGGCTCGGCCTGTCACTCGTTGGCAGTGCCAACAGAACTCTGATTTCCATCCGACTGGAAGCAAAAACAATAAAGACAGTTTGATTCACGTCAACAAAGTTTTACTGATTTTCAGTAAAACTTTCATTTTTTGGTTAATTTTTGATAAATTATTCTATGTCTCCTCACTGTGGCATGTGTTGAATGAGCAAAAGAGACATTGAAAAACACATTTAATAGAAAAACTGGTTTATTATTTATTATCTAATTATTAGTTGTATTAGAAGTGAAAAACAATTGAGGTAATTTAACAAAAGGTGCAGAAAGAGGATTCCAGTTTCTGAGAGTTTCTAACCAGATTTCATGCTTTCAGACAAATGTAGCCAGGACATTTCATTATGCTAAGATTTTATTTCAAATTGAAGTAGGGGTAAAAATGTAAGTAACTTTAGTCCGTCCGTCTGTTCATTAATTCATTTTCCTCCCTTCTCCGGGTATGGGTCACAGGGGTAGCATCTCAAGTCGGGCATCCCAGACAGCCCTCTGCTCAGCCACCACCACCGGCTCCTCCTGCAGTACCCCAAGGCTTTCCCTGGCCAGATTGGAGATGAACTTGCTCCAACGTGTTGTTAGTCAAGCCGGGGCCTCCTGCTGGCAGGACATGCCCAAAACACCACCCCAGGAAGGCTTCCACGCGGCATCCTGACCAGATGCCTGAACCACCTCATCTGGCTCCTCTCGTTGTGGAGGAGCAGCAGCTCTACTCCGAGTCCCTCCAGAATGTCTGAGGTTCTAACCCTATCTCTAAATGCTTACAATTGATGAACTCTGTTTTATGGTATAACGTTGGTAATGTTTCAGAATTTATACTTCCCCTAAGTCTCTCGCCTGGCCTCCACAGCAAAACAAATCTTTTAAATGGGCCTAGAATAGGGGTGTCAAACTCCAGTCCTCGAGGGCCAGTATCCTTTTGGATGTTTCCCTGTACCAACACAGTTGAATGACCTCTGCAGCAGCTCATCAAGCTCCTCAGAAGCCTTTTAATCTCCTACTGATTGAAATCAGGTGTGCTGAAACAGGGAAAACACTAAAACATGTGGGATAGAAGCTCTCATTAGAGAGGGAGCTGTCAATTAATGGGTGACACACCTCAGTCAACTTAGCACACCAATGAAAAAGAAGCCAAAGGTTTACAATCATAGATATGAATATGTAAATGCCTCATTGGGTGCTGGAGAACATAATAGCATTGCCGCCATATTGGACAGGTCTCCTCACTCCAAAGTTAATGCATAGGGAGCAAATATTCCTTGTTGCAACATGCAGTGTACTATTCTAAACAGATCACCTGGGATTACTATTGACTTTTCTAGCCTACCTAGTTGGATTTTATATTTTAATTTATTTTGTTTGATTATTGTTACATTTTAATCATTATGCCATACCTTATGTCTGATTTTGTGAAACATCTTGATAAAATGTGTTTTTCAGTTGGGTGAGCATCTTCCTCAGTAGACACGAGTGCACTGAGGGCAAATGGAAACCCATCCAAGATGGCGGCCACCCACTAAGGCAATTCCTTGACTGCCTTATATTTCTCAAAGAAAATGTAAAGTTTTAAAACTCAAGCAAGGAGCCGTTTATGACAATCGAGTAGAATTTTTATTGGAGATGTCTTTTAAAGATGGAGGCAGCTTCGTAATCCACAAGGGCTCGAAACTGATAAAGAGTTGACACAGTTTCTTTTGGACAGGTTCTGTATTTTATTGTGTTTTAAATAATTGTAACTGAAAGGTTATTTTAAAAAAAGATAATTGTTGTATGTTGCATTTACCATAGGCTAATATGACACTAGCTTGAATGTTAACCTGACTTGCATTGGATTAATGTCAGTGATTGTGGAAGAAGAGGAAGGAAAACGAAAAAGTATTCATCTTTAGTCAATTGAAGCGAAGTGATGGTAAAAAATGGTCTGTATTTGTATAGCGCCTTCTAGGGTTCTACAAACCCCCAAGCGCTTCACAAGATAGTCAGTCATTCGCCAAGATCACCCACACATTCAAACGCTGATGATAATGAGCTACGTTATAGCCACAGCTGCCCTGGGACTCACTGGCAGAGGTGAGGCTGCCATACACTGGCGCCACCACTTCCTTTGACCACGACCAGCAGGCAAGATGGGTTAAGCGTCTTGCCGAAGTACACAACAGCAGCAATTTCTGGTGGGAGCCGAGATTGATCCTACAACTCTCCAATCACTGAAGAACCCGCTTTACCTCCTGAGCTTCTGCTGCCCTGTGATTAGTGAAGCGTTCAACCTTGTTTTACATCACTCTATTGTTTTAGCGCTCTGTTGACTCCATGCTCCCTGAACATGTGCAGTATGAGGTGATCCTGAAGGGGAAGGGGAGCAGTATGAAGTCATGAAAAGAGGATAGAAAAGTTTTTTGTGTCTTTCTCTAAAGACAATGGCACCAACCCCAACAAGTGGCATAATCATTGCCAGTATGTTCTCTAGTATTTTCAGTATTCTGATCCACAAAGGTCAGAAGGGCAGGAAGGAGTGTAGGAGATGTGTTTTCACCTTGCAGCCCATTGGCATTGTTGGCGGAACAGTTTGGTGGAGGAGGAGAAGTTGATGGCCGAATGACAGGAGCAAAGGCGCTCTTCTGTTTAACGGCAGCCGAGAAGGAGAACACTCCATGAGATGAGTTACAGTTTGATACGGCCATGGTGGGACTGGAGGGAACGACTGCAATGCAGAGGCACCAACCAGTTAGAGACCAGTTAAAGTGAACAGGTGGGAAACACAACGTGCATTGGAAATAAGAACTAAACAACAGCCCACAGCAAGCTGCGGTTGAAGTGGCTCCAGGTGAATTTACCTTGATACTTACTGCCGTAGGGCGAATTGGCCGACGAGCCGTTGAGGAAACCAGGTGACGTTGTTACCCCGAGGTTCGGCATGCCAGCATTGCCGTAACCATTCATACTGTTGCTGACCGTATTACCATAGTTACTCTGTTGGGGGGTGGAGCTTGGTACATATCCTCGTGGTGACACACTGCTGGTGTTACGACTGTAACCAACTGCAACAAGGAAAGGTCAAAGAATCAATAACAGCTCAAAATAACTCAATCAGGACCTGAAGGTGTGGACCAGAAACTACTGAACTACCATTCTTAGGAAGCAATGATTACATTTAATTAAAGTTTTTAATTTCTCTTCACTAAGACTACTCTACTTATTGTTAACTTGCTGATCAGGTGACCAACATACACAGCTGCATATAGTTTAGGTTTAGAACACCATTAAACAGAGGATCAGTTAGCCGGTTTGGGCTTACCAACACCTGAGGTCTGGTATTCAACAGGTATTAGATACAAATGTAAAGGCAAACAAGAAGTAGATCAAACAAAAATGAGCATACACAAGAAAAACCTCCTCTTCCAGGAAAGGGACTGGTTCTACAGTCTACCATTATTCAGGATAAATAGATGAGTCCACTCCCTTTCGCCCCAGATTATAAACCCAGGCTACTCAGTGAAAACACGGGAAAATAGATCCAGTCATCATTGCTAAATGATTTCAGGCCTGGGCAGGTGTTTGGAGCCTGCTAGATGTCAGAAACTTTAGTTGAGTCCAGACCTCAGATCAAGGTTGGCTGACTAAAAAAGAAATGGGAGATTATTTACAGACCTGCTTATACCTGCAATTTGCTGATGTGCTTTCCATGTTCATTTTAATTCATTTATTTAAGAAAATATCAACATATATAAAACCGAGCATTTCTTTCTTCTCAGGTAAGCAGAGGCCCATTTTCTACGTGACCTAAAGCTTCTGTGTTAACATGGTTTAGGTTTTACACCACGTACCTTGCGTGGTCTCAGAGACATTAACAGCCAGCTGACCACTGAAGGAGTTCACTCCCATCATGCCGTGCGAGGCTGTGTTGCCTAGTGATGGGATTTGGTTGTGGTTCCTGGGAACGCTGTAGAGAGCTTCCGCAATGTCTGCCGCTCGCTTCAGAATGATTTCCTGCAGAAACAAATCAAATGGGATGATCTATTAAATAAGCTGCTCTGTTCATCAGACTAGTGATAAATAAATAAATAAATAAATAAATAAATAAATAAATAAATAAATAAATAAATAAATAAATAAATAAATAACTGTAATGTTTTAAATGGATTTATGGGTCAGTACAACTGTTCAAGCCAAAGATGAGAAAAGGGTGAATAACTTAAAAAAGGTTTTAACAAAATTTCTCGTTTGATCAATCTGAAGAAAGAGCAGCAATCAAAGGGTGCAACTCTGCAAATATTCAGACAAAACTACTTTGTACCTCCTGTTTTCTCCAGGTAAACTGTTCGCCACATAGCAGTTAGTTAACCAATTCAAAGTCATGAACACACCTTAATGTCATCAAAAAAGTTGAAAAGAAACAGACAACTACATAGTTGAAACTCAAGAATAAGAAGATAGTACAAAAGTCTGTTTGTCAGTAGACTGAGAAACCACCTAAAGGCTCAGGCACCCTTTGCAGGTGTTTTGGATTTATTGGCTGAATAGGGTGTGGCACTTTGAGTCTACAATAATGAACATTTTCACAATATTCTTGTCTGGGACATTGTTTTTTGGGTTTTCATAAGCTGTAATCACAATTACAACAAAGAAATATTTCACTTTCCATGGAATGAGTCCATCTCATACATTAATTTCACCTTTTAAGTAGAATTACTGTAAAAATAATTAAATTTTGCGCATTTTCTAATTCTGCAAGTTTCACAATCTGACATCTCCTCTGATAATGTTTTGTTTGTTGATCACTACAACGGTTTGAAAACTGCCTATAAAATTATGACTTTCATCTGGCAGGAGTAATTCTGAAAGTAGCTCCCTGCAGCGAAGAGTCAGCTGAAAAATATACATTCAGTATGTTTTATGTTCAGTTGAGAAAACATGATGTGAAACTGGGATATTCAAGAGAACAAACGGTAAAAAGACAAAGAAACACATTGGTCCGTTATTGTGGTTATAGTTATATTCGTTTTCTGCTGCTGTTCTCTGTTCAAGGTTATGCATTCATTTTTCACTCACCTGTGTGTGTGTGTGTGTGTGTGTGTGTGTGTGTGTGTGTGTGTGTGTGTGTGTGTGTGTGTGTGTGTGTGTGTGTGTGTGTGTGTGTGTGTGTGTGTGTGTGTGTGTGTGTGTGTGTGTGTGTGTGTGTGTGATTAACTTGTGGGCTGAGAAGCGTGTCGAAGTGAGTGCTCGTTGTGGAGGTTGGAGGGAATATAAAGAGCACCCCTCCTCCATCAGAGGTTTGTCCTGCTCACTGAGCTTCACGGGATGTTTGGAGTTCTTTACAAGAAGCTAACAAAGATATTTAAGTCTACAGGATTTGAGAACTCAAACTTTTAATGTCTGAGATGCTGTGATGAGTCAAATTAAGCTGATTTAATAGTAAAAGTGTTTTCTAGATTTTAGTGAAGTGCTGTATGGACTGGAGTTTTTAATATTATCAGCTATCCAGCAAATTTGTTGCAGAGGACTTTGTGTGTTTTAAAAATCATTCTATTTCTAACTTGTACATTATGATACCAAACTGATCTTTATCCAGTAAGGAAAACCATGGCCTTGGATTTGGAGATGCAGATCCTCATCTCAGCTGCTTCACACTCGGCTTGCAAACCACCATAGCAAGAGTTGGAGCTTAATAATAATAATGCATTGAACTTATATAGCGCTTTTCTAGACACCCAAAGACGCTTTCCACACACTCTCACATTCACACACTGCTAGTGATGGTAAGCTACTTGTAGCCACAGCCACCCTGGGGAGGTCTGACAGAGGCGAGGCTGCCATTTGGCGCCGTCGGCCCCTCTGACCACCACTAACACAGGCAAGTTGGGTGGTGTCTTGCCCAAGGACACAACAGCAGGATACCCCTGGCGGGAGCTGGAATCGAACCCATGACCCTCCGATCATGAGGCAACCCGCTCTACCACCTGAGCTACTGCTGCCCCAAAGAGCAAGTCACACCAAAAACAACTTTTTTTGCTGATAACTTACATAAATAAGTGTATTATAGTGTTGTAGACATGTGTAGTTGTTATTTTGGTATTTTGGTGCATTTTCTTTAAAAATAAATTCAGCTTAAAACCTTCAGTCCAGTGCCCTCTTCAGCTCAAAATTATTCTACACAAATTTACAACAACAGGTTGAAATCTGTCTCGACCAATGGGTGAAATGTCCCAAGAGACGTAACCAGGTCCCATATAAGGAGTCAGACCTCTGTAGCTGTCGGTTGTTAAAGCATCGCGGTCTCAGCCAGGCTCGTAGCAGTGGACTCAGATTAGCCGCAAGTAAGTGTTTATGCTGTAGCTTAGCTGTGGTTAGCATTAGCATTGAGTCAGGGTTGCGGTGTTCTGGGAATTTCTCCTACCCTGTAAACCGTCCTACCCATTGTTCCTGAGCATGTACGTGCATGCGCACAACAAAAAAGGGAAGCAAAGCGCATTGTCATATTTGCAGGAAAATAGGTAAGTAGTAAGTATTAGTACTTTTTATTGACGTTGATACTTGAATTTTTGGGTTAGGGTTAGGGTTTGTGTCGTGTGATGCAGAGAAACGCAGGAGGGACACTGAGGAATAGCTCCCCCTGCAGCTAAAAAGCTGACCCAGTTCTGAACTGGCGCTGAGTCCGGTTCTCATTAGAACATGTCTGATCTGATTTTAACCTTCTGTCATTCTTTACCTTCTAGTTTTAACATTATGTAATTATTTTAGCTTATTGTTACACACATGTTGCTGCTCTTAAAAACAACTATAAATATATTTGCTGTTTCTTTATATTTCACATAGCTACCCACCACAGTGTGTGTGACACTGGGACCATGATGGGAATTCCACCCAGAGCAGCTTCTACACTCTTGAACAGACCCAGGTGTGGTGGGGAGCTTCTGAGCAGCTTCCATCTGAATGACAGTGCAAGATCTATGAACTGTTATAGGTAAAAACATTCTAAATAATAATATTGTACTCTGTATTTTGTTTTTTTTCTCACTTCTCAACCTGGCTGGTCACCACTGGAGAGGAGTAGCTTCCCAGACTCACACCAACATCTCATTTTACCTCAGGGCCTCCTGATCTAATAGAAAGACCTGTAGTTCCATCCTTACTCCACTCTCCACAAGTTTCTCATCTCTGGAAGCTACCTCCCACAACACTGTGATGTTATACATAATTTATTTTCAGGCTAAATAAACCCAAGGAATCTGCTGTCAGACTGATTGTTGCAGCTACAAATGGTCCGGACTAACATGAAGCCTTGCATGTGTTGTAAAAGTGAGTTGTTTTAATCATCATGTAATCTTCATTACAGCCTTTGAGTTTTAACATTAACTATGTTTTTGTTTCATGGCTAATTGCTACACGTGTGTTGCTACTGTGAGCTTGGAGCTAGATTACATCATGACGTTATGAAGGAGGCGACTGATTCTGGCCCTGTGACACTTGGTGACGTGTGAGCTGATTCACCTGGTAAATAACTTCTACATTAAATATTTTGTTCTTTGCAATCAAAAGTAACTTAACTAATAACCTGCATTATTGTAGGACACTCAGCTAAATATGGACGCTACACCATGAGGCAGGCACACGTCAAGATTCTATAACAGCACATAAGGTAAGCAACACTACAGATTATTATTATTATTGTTGTTATTATACACTGTCCTGGATTTGTTTTCTTTCTGTATCTCATCATTAGCCTGGTTGATCACCTGCATCTCATCATTAGCCTGGCTGATCACCTGATAACTCCTGTCATCTGGTTATGACAGCATGAGTGTGTCCTCACACACCTGTAACCTATCAGCTAATCTGGCAGAATAGAGAGAAGAGACAACACCACATCTCCTGTTCCTGGAAAGCCTTTAGCCATCCTTCGATGACTGAGAACCTCCATCCAGCTCAGTCTCCTGTCTGCCTACATTTATTATAATAAATAGTGTGTTTGACACGTTATTTGGGTTGCCAAATGTCTCATTTCAATTCCTGTTTTTACATCTTAATAGATATTTATAAATTGCTTTAATTGAATTCACATTGTTGCACGTTTAACTAGCTCTATTGTGATGAATTAAACTAGCACCTCACTGTTAAAAGCTCGTTTTAAATTAAAGCGTGTTTAAATATTTATGGACATAAACAAAAACAGGAAATACATAAATTGAGATTTATTTAATTAATATAACTGTTTAGAGGAGGAAGGAATCATTCAAAGGCAAAATCTTCAGGAAGCTCCTGATCCTGACAACACCACCAGTGACCAGCTTTTGACACCAGAGGATCACCTACGACCAAGAGAGCAGCTGGTATCAGTAAATAATTAAATCAAGGCAGTTTTAGTGGGATGTTTGTGATTGTAGGTGGCCGTGTCCTAGAGAGCTGCTGTCGGCACGTTTCAGTGGTTTTTCCTGCTTTAACGTGTTAGACAAGCTGTTCAGCAGCTCAGCTATTTGATGCTGATTAAAACCAGGTGTGTTAAAGCAGATAAACCTCTAAAACATGCTTGATAATAGCTCTCTTAGGCCGTGGGGTCAAACCCTGCAGCTAATTGGATGCTATGGCTAACGGCTACCTACCATTCAGAGCTGGTTCTGTTGGGTCAGCTCCAGTGGTTTCAGGCAACTCACAAGCTCAAAACAATAAGGCTCGGACTCACTTGTCTCCTCCAGATAGACTTGGTCCCTTTCTTCTCATCGTCTGAGTAAGGAGGGGGAGAAACATCCTCTGCTTCTAATGATTGCTCAGAGTAAAAAAGCTAGCTTCACCCCGTTACCCATCCATCTTCGTCACCGTTGCGGCTCCGCCCTCTCGGTCTGCCAGGCAACGCCTACTAATGTTGCAATTTTCAAAATTGGTATGTGGGTGGAGAAAGACTCTGAGGCAGGGTTGACTCGCCCTTTAACAGAACTAAGAGGACTACATACATAATCCACAAATCCTCCTGCCACCAAACTCACCACCCGTGGCTAGCTTAACAGTCCTTAAATGTAATGAACAGAACCAATGACAAAAGGAGTCTCACCCTCTGCAGGAACAAGTCAGACTTTTGTCAGAAATAAGGGCCAGACTCACAGTCACTTGGTGCAGGGCTACTTGCGCAACTTCTCCTCCTGAGAATGACCAATAGGTCCACCAGCTCTGGTTCCTCATTGGAATTTATGTGAGTGAAATTGAAGAGTTCCTCGAAGCACTCCCTTCACCACCCAACTATATCCCCAGTTGAGTTCACCAGCTCCCCATCATTACTGTAAACATTGTGGGGCAAGTTGCTACAAGCGCACTATGACGGTTTGCCAATATGTCTTTGGTGCTGATCGATTATCATCAAAATCATCTTGAGGCTGAAGTTTTCCCTCAGCCAGGGGTGGATTGGCCTATCTGGCATTCTGACACTGTCTCGGTGGGCCGCAAGGTGAACATTTGGCGGCATAGAGACCCCCTAGAAGCAGCCCTTTGGGAGCTGCCTGCTGCTTCTGAAGCCCACAGGCCAATCATTCCCAGTTGGCCCCTTTCTTCAGCAGATGACAGGTCTCCTGAAATTTGGTATTCACCAACAAGTTTAGGAGTTATTTCCATCATTAACATGAGCAACATTACAGCTATAATTAGCAGCAGCTGCCTCAACAATTGCAAATTCAATTCAATTCAAAGATACTTTATTAATCCCAGAGGGAAATTAGAGTTTCAGTGCACACAATTCTGAGATCAGACATACATGCATAGGCATAGACACATGACAAGAATTTGTGACTGTGGTCATTCGCAACCCGAGTCGCGCTATCTTAATAGAGATCAGAGGGTTCATATGAGGATTGAGTCAGTTTGAGGAAAAAAAGGCACTTCAGAGTTACACTCCACAGGAAGGGCAGCTTTGCCATGCAATAAACACCTCAGACAGAAATGCTACAGACTTCAGACATTATACAACGTGTCCACTAAGAGGGCAGGCAGGGTTAGGGACTCTCCACACATCAGTGCATGCAGCCGCGATAAGTAGCGCTCGTCACCTCCGTTTGGACAGGGGAGGGAGGTAGTTGGGTTTAGAAAGCACAGTGACTCCTGAAAACGATTCAACGACCTTCACCGGTTGCAGTCCCGTCCAGGCTGGGATAGGGAAACAGAGTTGCCATGGTGACGGCAGCATTCCACATTTCTTCTGAGGGGGAGGATTCACTTCAGCCTCACTGGCTCAAGGGCACCAGATTCAGATAAGAACTTGTTTTGGGGCCAGACAGAGATAATTCCCTCTCTGTCTTAAAGTGCCGTTGGTCCTCAACCCCTCTAAATCCAATAATGGCATAATTAATCTATCCCAATCCGCGCTGATCCATCCACTTTCTCCTTGATCGAATTCACCTTCTGAGCCAGAGTCTGAATCTCAGCCAAAATTCCAAGCTTACGACTCATCTCGACAATTATTTGAGTTTGTGCATTCACAGCGCGGTGTAATCCATCCCTGAGCTCCGGGATTGAGCCATTATTCCTCGACAGCTCATTAATTTTCCGGTAAGCCAGGTAACCACTCAGGCCAAAAGCAAGAAACCTGACACCAACACCACGAATATCCGGACGTCTACAGAATCCTCTGTAGACAGTTGAGAGAGGCAAATCAGGTTCCTCTGTTTCCAGGAGTCCATGATATGCCCAGCTGGCTCTGTCCCAGTGGGGCATCTGGGAGCCCCTTCTCCCGTTCTCATTGTTGAAAAAATTTTGTCAATCATGTTGAGAGACCAACTGACCAGGTCCATTTTTAATAATTTCCAGTTTCCAGAAAAAATGCTGAAGTGCTGTACACCCAAAGACAGACAAAGAGCCTTAGGATAAGATAGAGAGGAGAGGAGGAAAAATGCATCTGTACTCTCCAAGAGCCGGAAGAAGAATTAAGTGCAACAAGGCCCATTCTCTCCCATTGCTCTTGGGACACAGTTGAAGCACAGTTAAAGCTCCAGTCGCCGGCAGAGTGAGGGAGTGTCCACTAGTCACTGAGCAATAGGCAGATCACCTCCATGAACATTATATGATAAATTTATGGAGAATTTCCAATACAGGAAGAGGCCAGAAGAGAGGTGTAGCATATGGGAGTTTCTTGGCCAAAACAGGAGAATTGACAGGTATGTGTTTTGCAGGTATTAGTCTATCTCTTCCACGAGCTCCAGCTCGTTCCCCTTCAGGAAATGTAGATTTAAGAGATAGTAGCTCAAGAGCTTCCACCCAGTGGCGGTTTTACCATTAGACATACGTCAGCGACCGCCTGGAGCCCCCTCATGTTGGGGGGGCCCATAGCCCTGACTGCTCGCACCCCTCTGTTAATGCCACAATGGACAATTCCTTTAAGACGCCGATGCACAAACAGGAAGTGATTGGTAGTCATTCCAGTCCAATCCAGGTGGCAATTGGTGGCAGTAATGCACAAAATTGTTGCACAATTTAAAGACAACTTAAATAATAAGAAGAGAAAAAATAAAAAAAAGAAGAGAGACAGGAGTGTTCGTAACAAATTCGAAGCAGTAATCAAAACATTAAGCATGAAATGGAGTTATCCTATTGGCACCAATAAGAGAAAGAAGCAGCTTGCTTTAAAAAAGCTTTTATCTTCATTTCCAAAAGTGATGTCATTTTTCTATGTAAACATCAAAAGGAAGCAGAAAAGGAGACAATGGAAAATGTTTGAAGGGAGGAAAACATAGACCAAAATGGAAAATATAAGAAAAACTAAAAGAAAGGCAAAAGCACAGGAGCACAGACAAGAAGAAGAAAGCAGGGCAAATATTGAAGGCACTCAAAGGGAGAGAAAGACAGGAAAAAAGAGGAGGACTAATAAAAAGTGGAAATAAATCATGTCAGAAGAGGGTAGTTTTGCAAATCCTGTTAAAGATAAGATTTTAGAAAATTTAGTGTAAGGGGGCCCCATGTCTGTGTTCGCCTTGGGCCCCCAAATTGCTAATTCCGCCACTGCTTCCACCAAATTCAACCATGACATTAATTGAAAACTCTAAGGTTTCCTTAGGTGTTAACAAGTCTGTGACAATTTGTATGTCTCATTTGTATCTAATGTAGTCATCGTGGCTGTCTGTGGAGCTCTCTGAGGGAGACCACAGAAACAACACAGCTCTTGAAGGTGTTGTGTGCTTCACTTTTGAGTTGCTGAACCATGTTTTTCTGGCTAAAAGCTCCCCAAAACCTCAGTTGGCTCCTGGATCTGTGTTAGCTTCGAGTTAGTTTGATGGGTGTCTATCATTTGCTCCCACCCTCACACCCTCTTTGCCCATTTTTGGATTTGGCGGTAGTGACAGCACAAGTTACACGGCCAAGATGGCAGTGGTGGGAACTGCCCATTTGGCTTCAAATAAGCCCCACACAAAGCTATGGGTGGAGTTTGTTCATTTTTTTTATAGTTAAGAAAATGAATGAGTGTTATTTTTCCTTCAAATATCTTTTTGTGAATATTTTTTGCTGAAAGGGTGGAGTTATGAGTCTTCTGGAATAAATCACCACCTTTCCTGGATTCTGGGCTCATAAAATTTAATGAGAAACTAAACTGGTCATCTGATGTTTCCTTCTAATGTTTCTTTTCTTATTGTGTGCAGGTTACCTGGTTGTTGTGAGGCATCCCATAGAGCGCCTCCACCAGATCGGCTGCTCTCTTCAGCAGCACCTCCTGAAAGAATAAAGAGGAAGGTTGAAAAATGTGACCTGATCGCTGATCCACAAAGAGATAGCATGAGACATTTGAATCGGTTTCATGTGGGTGATGAAGGTCAGTCTTCATCGGGTCACATGACTCCACTTATTTCTGCTAGTTTTATTCATGTGTCATTGACCTGACAGCGTTAAACCCTGTTTACACTAATCAGAGCTTCGTTACACCTCACAGCATGCAGTACCACAGACACACACACACACACACACACACACACACACACACACACACACACACACACACACACACACACACACACACACACAAAGTCAGAATGAGCCTTGTTAAAACTGATCCACTTCATTTCAACAAGCAGTTTGAGAGTTAAAATACTGCCAAACAAACAGATCAAGGGAGTGTGTGTCACTATGTGTGTTACTGTGTGTGTCACTGTGTGTTACTGTGTGTGTTAGTGTGTGTGTAATCAGTCGGTGGCAGAACAATGCTTCATTTAGTCTTTATCTTAATTAAACACTCTCTCAGTTAATCTGCTGCTTTTCATTACGAACTTCTTCAAGAGGCTTTTCAATTAACCCCGCCCCTTCATCCATCCTTCCATCCATCCATGTTAAATTTTTATTTTTTTCAGTCATCTTATTTTATTGTTTTTCAAATTAATGCTACATTTTTCATTTATCTAATTTGTATTCATCTTTTATTTAATCTTCTTGTTTGTTTTTCAGATTGTCTTTTTTTCATTCTTTTATTCCTTCATTTCCTTACTTATCTCCACCTGCGTTTCTTTGTCTTGTCAGTGTCCTCCCTCTTTCTTTATAGTTCATGTCACTTTTCTGCCTTTTCATTTATGTCTTCTCTTTATTCTGGGTATATTACCTTTTCTTTCTTTTGTTCAATTTTGTTTGACTTACTTTACTTAATTTTTTTTATTCTATTTTCTTGTTATTTATTTTCTTTCTACTCAATTTCTCCTCCTTTACCAGGTCACAAATAATCTGGAATCACAAGAGTATGAAGGTGATATATTGCCAGTTTAACTCAGACTGTGTGTGTGTGTGTGTGTGTGTGTGTGTGTGTGTGTGTGTGTGTGTGTGTGTGTGTGTGTGTGTGTGTGTGTGTGTGTGTGTGTGTGTGTGTGTGTGTGTTATTTTACCATAAACTGAGAAGGAAGTCATTTTCTGTGAAGCAGCTCTCAGCCTCAGATTGTTTATGCAGAGAGATGTTTGAGTGTTGTAGCGAATTAGGAGTTTACACACACACACACACACACACACACACACACACACACACACACACACACACACACACACACACACAAACACACACTGTACTTATGGTGACAAATGAAAACCTTATAATTACAAGTGTTTCATTGTTATGCAGCAAGAAGGCAAGCAGCCTCCTCTCCTGCTCTCTCTCACCACACACACACACACACACACACACACACATAATAGCAAGGTTTCCCCAGCAATTGAGCTTGAGGTTGGGATGTCATCATTGAGGAGAAAGCCAATTATTCAGCCCCCCACCCTCTCTCTCTCTCTCTCTCTCTCTCTCTCTCTCTCTCTCTCTCTCTCTCTCTCTCTCTCTCTCTCTCTCTCTCTCTCTCTCTCTCTCTCTCTCTCTCTCTCTCTCTCTCTCTCACACACACACACACACACACGTGATCTGTTCACTTCAGTATTTAAGACTCAGCAGCAGGAACTAAATGTTAATAAACACAACTTAAGGACTAATTGGAATACAATAAAAAGGAAATGAAACACTAAATGTCTGTGTGATGATAACATGTGGAGCCCACACACACACCTACACACCCACATTTGTGTTTCCATCTGACTATAATCTGATGCCTGCTCTACTCTTAGTCTACATCTGAGAACTAAAGTTTAAAAACTGAAGGTTTTAAAGCTTTTCTACATGATAAATTGAGTCTGAAAGACTGTTAAAGCCCATGGATTTGACATAGATGCTCCTAGTTTGCTGTCAGTGAAATGGTAAAAATGCTGCTTGAATGGTTAGATAGATGGATTTTAGATTTCTAAAGTTTAAGCTTGGTCCAGAAAATGGACCAGGACCTTTTTAATCTTTGCAGTCCGCAGTTACTCTTAAGATGGACATGGCAGAGAGGAGAAGAGAATAAATTCAATATTTACTCTAGCTCCTGATGTTCAGATGAAGGACGGGAAAGGAGCAGAAACAGCAACAACACAGATGTTAGTTTTTATATAAATCAGATAAGACAGCAACCGATAATCATGTGTGTGCCAATCTCCTTTCTTGCCACATGGCTGCACTCGCTGATTACCTGATTTGACTGTTTCAACCACCCTGTTTGCCAATGAACTTTACACACACACACACACACACACACACACACACACACACACACACACACACACACACACACACACACACACACACACACACAACAGTTGTTGCCTCTATTTCCTCTATGTGTTTGTCCTGCTGACGTGTGTGACTGATGTTTAATGATGATAAATCAGTTTGTTTCTATAAAAATGTTGACAGTTAAAGAGAGATGAACTTCAGCGTTAAAACATTCCAGCTAGACGCTGAAGCTCACATCTCCAGCTGCAAGTGGAAGCCCTGTGTTTCACACACCACCTGTACACCAGATCTTTTACTCTTCTGGCTTTTGGACAGAATATGTAAATTAGTGATGTGTCGGTCGCAAATGAAATGGTTCTTTAGAGCCGGCTATTTGAAGTGACCGACTGGAGCCAGCTCCTTATTGGAGGAGCTGTGGTGAGTGACACAGACTGTACCCTTCTCCCCCATCCTACCTTAAGATGCTAACAAACAGCAAATATGTTCACACATACACAGCGAGCATCTGATAGAGTGGCCAAATGTCCCGCTTTGTGTGGGACAGTCCCGCATTTTCATAACTTTTCATACTTCTCACAAATTGAGACTCATGTCCAGCATTATTGACTGTCTTCTGTTGCGTGTTTCAATCTTGCATAAACTGTGTGCAGAAAGCTTCCTGTTGACTTTAGTGCAGGCCCGGAGTGAGCTCAGGGACCGCCAAAACACAGTCAGTGAGGGCGGAGGGCAGATGAGCGTGGTGAAGAAAATGTTGTCAGAAAGAAGACTTGTGGGTTAAAAGAGAAGAAAGTCTTTGTTGTTTTTCAGAGTAATTTCTCCATGTCACGGCAACAAGTCAGATGTGAAACTGCAGAAATTCTGAGAGTCACAAAACACAAGTTGGTCAAAAGCAGGTTTTAGACAGGTTCATGCTAAAACCCAAAGATTCTAACAAAGACGAGGTGCTGGTGTTGTTTCAGATGCATTTAAGCTACACCCTTTAAAGCACATTAAAGGGGCATTATGGAAGTTTGACAGCCAAAACATGTATAGAAATAATATATTTCTTCTTAATACATTCTCCTGCAATGCCCTGGTCCTGTAAAATGAGCCCCGGCATTTTTACTGTGATTGCCTATTTTTCTGTAAAATCACAGAAAAAGAGAGCTGCTCGGGTCGAGCAGGCTGCTTCATGCGCGTTCACGCTCAGGCATAGCCCTCTGAACCGTTCTTAAATGGTACAGATACAAGTGATGTCACTGGTGCTTTAGCTTGCCTAGTAAGACGTTGGACTTTCATGCAGCTGACTGGGGTTCGATTCTGGATGTGAACATAGTTTATTTAGAGTTTCTTTTTAACATCAGTGGTATATTTTTTACAGTAAGATGCCCACAGTTTTATTTGAGACTCGCCGAACGGCGAGATAAAAAGATGTGGGTTCAACTTTCACTTTGGAACAATTTTTCAAGCAAGGGAAGGGAATGATCTGAGCATGCAGGAGGACTGACCCATCTTAAACCTTTGTCGGCTGTGCTGAAGAGAAAGGTACAGAACCAAATTATTTAATTAATTAGCTGCGCGTTCTACTGTCCTCCGGGCCACACACACACACACACACACGGAGCTGACTGTCTCAGCTGTTATTTTCATTAAGGAGTGTGCACGTACAGCATGTGCGCCTCGTGCACGAGCCTACTATTGAAGCTGCCGTTACGCTTTTGGCCTGAGGGGGGCAATCACGAGCATGAAAATTCAAGACCCCGTAAAGTCCCTTTAAAGAAATAACGAGATCATTAAATGGAAGCATAACTTATTTTCACTTTTGAGGAAAAAAGTTACTCTAAGGAAATCTATGATCAGACCTGAATTTTTTTCAGAGCCTAAAGTCAGTGATGTTTTTTTCCTCTTCCCTGTATCTACTGTAAAAGATGTGTTGTCATTTCTGAAAAAAATAGATACATTTTGAATCTAAATTGAGAAGGAAAAAACTTGAAAAAGGTGGCTATTTATTTAATGGGATGTTGATATTATTGGAAATGTCATTAAAAACAAACAGAAGTAGATCTAAAAATGGGACTGGTGCTTTCACTGTCATTCTGTTGGGGAACATCATGTTCAATCAAAACTCTAAACCTGGATTTATTGTTGTGGCCCTAGCTTTGGTGTTAAAATGAGTTATTGGTATAAAATAATTTTTACTAAAGTTATTCAGAGCCACGGTAGAAGGCCCAAATTACCTAAGTTAAGCTGTGGTAAGGGGAACTCTGTGAAATAATAAGGCTTATGCTGTTTGCTTGTTCAAGTTTAATTCAAATAGACAATAAATATATGATAATAATCGTATTATTTAGCAATGGTGTTGGAGCTAAATGGCAGAATAGAATGTATTTTTGGTGTTACTTCTTGTTGCATTGGAATCTCACATTGTGCCACACTGAGTAGTCAATGTCCCACATTTTGCAAGTTGGGATCTGGTCACCCTAGCGTCCGATCGCATTGGGGGGGCACCTCTGATCACTGTGAAAGCAGGGGGAGGGGTTTTGCACAAAGGGTAATTATTACTGGGATCAAATATGTAACAGAGGAAAGTAAAATAAAGAGCACTGCAGAAAGGTGATGTTACATCCCCCTCTGTTGCCTAGGAGGTCCTGAGGGGGATGTCCACATTAGACTTCTCCCTGTTAGTGTTAGGAATGCAAAGTGTTTAATAATGGCAGGATTTGGAGTTTTATTTCCTGATATTTGGACATCTTGCCTCAGATTGGATAACAGCAACACGACTCTACCACTGATTTGCAACGTGGATGTTCGGTGGTCCGGGGGCGCCTATTGAGTTCCACTGCTTTAAAGCCTTCATGAGGCTTGGATTCCTGAAGGATGCTTCTAAACTGGCATGTGGGCTAAGTTCTGCAGATGTCCAGGTTCAGGTCAGGATTATTTTCAGCTATCAGAGAGACTCGACCGTGTGCTGAGCACAAGGCAGTGTGTGTAATTGAATAAAACCATTACAGATGAATTATTAAGGAGGTGGTGGGATGTGGTTTTCATTACGGAGCTAACAGCATGTCAGCTCACATGAGGGCTGCAGGAGACACAAAACACAGGGCACATATCCTCTTTGAGCTGTTGCTTGTCTGCATGCTCACATGTTCATTAAACATACACATACCCATGTGGAAACCAGGGAACCCTTATCCTGGTTTAGGATCAGCAGGTATCTAAACAAAAGAGCCTCATAAAGACTTGTGATTCTGGGAAATGCTGTTCATGAAACTGATCCTGTAGTTCTTCAAGGCTCCGTGTACTGGACGGTACAGAACACTAACAGAACCAACAACACGTGAAGCAAAGACTTCTAAAGTTTTAGAATGAAGAAATCTATAAGAGCGTATTTGTTGTTTCAGTCTCCAACCACCTTCTAAGCACACCATTGATGTGGTATCATGGGGGTAGGTGGCTGAGGCGGTGCCTCACTTGTCATCATGACAAATAAAATACTAACACAATCAAAAATCAGTTTATCCGCTTGGCTGTTCTTTAAGTTTGTTTTCTGTACTATTTCAACATTTTTATGTCTAAATCGCTGAATTTACACATTTCTTGTTCAAATACATGGCAACAACAAAGGCTGTCTAAATTTGAAGGCTCCTCCAAGTGAGGCCCACTGACATATTCTTCTTTCCTCAGATGTGAAGGGCAAGTCTGAGGTATCCTGGAGTGTGTCCGCAGGGTGAGACAGAAAGTACCATGCAGCATTGCTAGGGGCAGAGCTGAGCCCCATAGACAGTAACAGTACAAGACACACCTTCTACATGGCCAAGGGCATAGGCAAGTCTGCTACAGTACACTCATTTCAACAAAATGAAAGATCTCAAAACTAAACTGGATTTTTGATCAAAACAGGAGGAAAAACCTACTTCAGAGATAAAACATTTGCTCAAAACATTGTTTTTCTCACTACTGTAATGTTTAATAGCATGGAATCAGAATCAGAAGGGTTTTACTGCCATTTGTGCGAGAAATCACCTTAGGAAATTGTGGTACTTGGTGCAAAAAAATTTATTAAAAATAGGAGAGAAGAGAATTGACTGAATCAGAATTAAAAGCTTTTCAAAAAACAAGTGTTTTAATTAAGGTCAAAATGGAAGCATTTTGGAGGTGCATTTGTACATCTGACTCCAGAGGAGTAGGTTCCTCATCAGTCATGAACAACACCACACACACACACACACACACACACACACACGAGTCAAACAGCAGAGTCAGTAGATGATTATCGGACTCTGAGCAGCCAACCAGAACGCACACTGATGGGACAAATACAAAAACACACATATTTGGTTTCTGGTTGTGTGTGTAGCCCTGTTTTTTCTGTCAATGTACTTTGTGTAGTTTTTGCATCTGTGAGTGTTGTACCTTGGGCAGTCTCTCAGGGTCTCCAGGGTGACGGGGGATGACCTTCTGTAACCTCTGGAAACCATAATCAATGGTGGGTTCATTCAGCGCTGAGGAAGTCAGAGAGAAAGTCACTCATCACACACTTTGAAATGAGATTGTGTTCATGAACACAACAAAGCAGAACATGTGTGTGCAGTTATTATTTACATATGACAGCAGACTGGGTAACTCAAGGCTATGGATGTGGTAGGGCTGTCGTGGTTGACACGTCTCTGCAACATTGCGTGGTCATTGGGGGCAGGTCCTGTGGAGTGGCAGACCGGGGTGGTGGTCCCCATCTTTAAGAAGGGTGACCGGAGGGTGTGTTCCAACTACAGAGGGATCACACTCCTCAGCCTCCCTGGAAAGGTCTACTCCAAGGTACTGGAGAGGAGGGTCCGATCGATAGTTGAATCTCAGATTGAGGAGGAGCAATGTGGTTTTCGTCTTGGCCGTGGAACTGTGGACCAGCTCTATACCCTTGCAAGGGTGATGGAGGGGGGCATGGGAGTTTGCCCAACCAATCCACATGTGCTTTGTGGATTTGGAGAAGGCTTATGACCATGTCCCCTGGGGCACCCTGTGGGGGACGCTCCAGGAGTATTGGGTGGGTGTTAAGGGCCATTCAGTCCCTTTACCAGAGGAGCGTGAGTTTGGTCTGCATTGCCGGTAGTAAGTCGGACCTGTTCCCGGTGAGGGTTGGACTCCACCAGGGCTGCCCTTTTTCACCGGTTCTGTTCATTACCTTTATGGACAGAATTTCTAGGCACAGACGTGGTGTGGAGTGTGTCAAGTTTGGTGGCAGGAGAATCTCGTCTCTGCTTTTTGCGGATGATGTGGTCCTCCTAGCTTCATCCAGCTCTGACCTTCAGCTCTTGCTGGGTAGGTTTGCAGCCGAGTGTGAAGCGGCTGGGATGAGGATCAGCACCTCCTAATCTAAGACCATGGTTCTCGACCGGAAAAGGGTGGCTTGCCAAGTCCGGGTCGGGAGAGAGGTCCCACCTCAGGTGGAGGAGTTTAAGTATCTCGGGGTCTTGTTCACGAGTGAGGGTAGGAGGGGTCGGGAGATCGACAGGTGGATTGGTTTGGCATCTGCAATGATGCGGACGCTGAGCCGATCTGTCGTGGTGAAGAGGGAGCTGAGCCAGAAAGCCAGGCTCTCGATTTACCGGTCGATCTACGTCCCAATCCTCACCTATGGTCATGAGTGTTGGGTAATGACCGAAAGAACAAGATCGTGAATACAAGCGGCCGAAATTAGTTTCCTCCGTAGGGTGGCCGGGATCAGCCTTAGAGATAGAGTGAGGAGCTCGGACATTCGGGAGGGACTCTGAGTAGAACTGCTGCTCCTCCGGATCGAAAGGAGTCAGTTGAGGTGGTTTGGACATCTGGTCAGGATGCCTCCTGGACGCCTCCCTGGGGAGGTGTTTCGGGCATGTCCTGCCGGCAGGAGGCCCCTGGGTCGACCCAATCTGGTGCGGGAACGCCTTGAGGTCCTGCCGGAGGAACTGGTGGAGGTGGCTGGGGAGAGAACGGTCTGGAGCTCCCTAGTTGGGATGCTGTCCCCGCGACCCGGACCCGGATAAGCAGAGGAAGACGACGACGACGACAGCAGACAGGCTGAACCATGGGAATAGATGAGACAGTCCTCCAGGTTCTGAGAGGCCTTCAGATTGTTTCAGGTGTTTTATATGGAACAGATGAAACTTGATGCTGAAATATTCCATGTTGAAGCAGCAGAACTTCCAACATGAATGAGTTTTCAGTGACGAAGAACAAAAACTCACAAAACAGATACACTCTCCAGTCTGAGTCATGCATGTCCCAGACCTGTACACACCACTGTGACTCAATCTTCAGACACTTTTAATGCAACAGATTTCATTTCTATTTTCTGATACTCCTCGAATATCATTTAGAGTTTAAACTACAGGCAGATGATAAATCTGAGCGTCAGTGAAAGCAGCAGAGCATGGTTATGAATCTGTGTGTGTGTGTGTGTGTGTGTGTGTGTGTGTGTGTGTGTGTGTGTGTGTGTGTGTGTGTGTGTGTGTGTGTGTGTGTGTGTGTGTGTGTGTGTGTGTGTGTGTGTGTGTGTGTGTGTGTGTGTGTGTGTGTGTGTGTGTGTGTGTGTGTGTGTGTTAGAGAGAGAAAGAGGGAGGGAAGAGAGAGAGGACATGAATCATAATCCCGTTTTGGTTCAGCTGCATTTAACAAGCTTTAGCCTGACTCTCCTATACATCACGACAGTGTGTGTGTGTGTTTCGGTTACTGTGTGTTACTGTGTAATGTAGTGTTACTGTGTGTTGTTGTGTTACTGTGTGTGCTCAGTCCTTGAAGGCCTGCAGGGCGGAACCAGCAGCAGTTAAAGGAGTGTGTTAGCTCTCCTGATGTCTATGTTATCTACAGCCTTTGTGATTGTGTGACCTTGTTTTGTGTTGCTGACTCTTTGATCACTTTGTTTTTCTGTTGTGCATCTGTTTAAGTTGTCTCTAGCTTCTCATGAATCAGACCAGCTGCAGGTCTTTTCTGGCCTATAGAATAATCTCATTTCTCATTATAAAGATTTTATTCAAAAACTTTAGTCAACTTTTGTTGTTTGGATTTTCAAAATTATTTTGGTAGCTGGTATTTGTTAAAAATGGCTCAAAGTGATAAATTGAATGCAGTATTGTGAATTACCATCATCAATTGTATAATTATATTTCCTAACAGACAGAAGCACCACAGCTAGATCCTTTTAACATGGAAGAGCGGCAGCTCTCCTCCAAGTCTATCCCAAACTCCTTGCCCTATATTTAAAGCAGAACCTGGCCACCCTGTGGAACAAATACAACCCAGAGAAACTTCAACTCATAAACCTGAGACAGGACACTATCCCATACCCAAAGTAGGCAAACCACCCTTTTCTATTTAACAACCACAGACTCAGATTTGGAGGTGCTGATCCTCCTCTCATCCACTTCACACTCCCTACACCCTACTCAGCCTTCCGCTTCCGGTCGGTAACAAGATGGCGCCTGTGCTTGGCTGAGCCGCGGTCACTGGCCACTTTTTCAAACTTTTCTCCACTAACCTCCTCTTTTCCACCTTGCTCCAGTCTGCAATCCTCTTCAGTAGTGTCCCTGCTACCATCTCCTATGATCGCCAGACTCTTGTGTCCTTCCGTTGGTTCACGATCTCCCAAGATGCACAGAGGACGTACCATCCTGTTTGTTTACCTTTGTGGCGCACTGGCCCGGAGCCAAACGATGAGTCCAATCATGGCGTTTCCAGCGATGTTTAACCAGTCCCGGGAAAACGTAGGAGGAAAAGAGGTAAATGAGCAGGAATCCAGGTGAGAATAAGACTTCTCTTAAAGTGTGTTTTATCTAGTAAACATCGGCATGATCTTCTAGTTTCTTGTCCTTTGTTTGACGACTTGAGCGCCACTTTCACATTCCCGCCAGGCCGCGTTGCGGTGTGGTTTCTCCGTCCAAGTTTTTTAAGGTCGGTTTATCCTCATTCTTCAGTGGCTTCTCCTCCTGTTCCCTCCATAAGTGTTTTTTATAAACACTGTGGATCTAACCCTGCTAGTTTACGTCCACTAACTGCAGCTGTTACTGTAGTTTCTGATTCCTCTACCTCACTCAGCATGGCTCTATTTAATACCCGCTCTGTTAACAATAAGTTCTTCCTGCTCAATGATTTAATTCTCTCTAAAAACCTGGATTTCCTGTTTCTGACTGAAGTTTGGCAGCAAACATCTGATTATTCTGGTCTGTTTGGACTCTGCCCGAGTGGTTATTCTTTTCTTAGCCAGCCCCGGGGTTGTGGTCGTGGTGGAGGCCTAGCTGTTGTTTTCAGAGGCCATCTTCCATATAGCTCTACAACCTCTGGTCACTTTGCTTCCTTTGAACTGCAGCTGATTACAGTCGGGCGTAAGGACCCATTCTACTGTGCTGTGGTCCATCGTCCACCTGGTCCAAATAGTTCTTTCCTTCAGGAGTTTAGTGACTTTCTATCCTCCACTGTGAATCTGTCCAGACTGGTGATTGTGGGCGACTTTAACATCCACGTTGATGATCCCTCTGATCACTTTGCCATGAATTTCTCCAGCCTTATGGACTCCTTCAGCTTTACCCAGCATGTTTCTGGCCCCACACACACCAGGGGGCACACTCTGGACCTTGTTTTTACTCTGGGTCTAAATGCTGACAGTGTCCTGAGGACGTTTATATTTCAGATCACCAATGCATTTTCTTTAACTTGTCAGTTTCTGCATCCCCACCTCCTGCTCGCCATATGGTTAGTTCTCGTTTTCTTAAAGAGAGCACAGCTAGCAATTTTTCTGCTGCTTTTGATCCACCCTGTTCTTCTGATGACCCAGATTCCTTAACTTCTCAGTTTAACGATCACTGCCTCTCCATTCTGGACAACATCTGTCCTGTCAGAACCAGATCAGTTCCTGCAGTGAACCCTACTCCCTGGTTTAATGACAGCCTTCGCAGCCTGAAGCGCCAATGCAGAAAAACTGAGCGCTTGTGGAAGAAAACCCATCTCCACGTCCCTCTGCTGCACCTAAAGGATCTTCTGACATCCTTTAACTCTGCAGTCAGAGACACTAGGGTTTCCTATTTCTCCAACCTGGTGTCCCAGAGCAAAGGGAACCCCAAGATGCTGTTTAACACCATCAGCAACAGTGTCTATCCTGCCTCTCCTACAGCCTCCATCCACTCTGTTGCAGACTGTGAGAACTTTCTGTCTTTCTTTGTGGACAAAGTCAATAAGGTTAGATCTAACATCTCTCCTTCAGCCTTATCGCTGCCTCTCCCGACTCCAACCAGGCCCATCATCCTAGATAGCTTTGCTCCTGTTTCTTTGCCTGAGTTAACCAAACTAGTTAACTCTATGAAGACTTCAGCATGCCCCCTCAACATCTTACCCTCATCTTTGTTTAAATGTGCTTTTCAGTCCATCGGTCCCACCGTGCTCTCTATAATTAATGCTTCTCTGGTTTCTGGTCAGGTCCCCACTTACTTTAAGAACGCTGTAATCTACACGCTTCTTAAAAAACAGAGTCTTGACC